GCCACAGTTTAAAAGGAGCTCATGAGTTCTTAATGTATTATAAAAAGATTACTTTCCTAAATAAAATTAAAGCAAGATGCTCCAAGATTATCATTGGAGCAGGAATCTCCTTGGGAAGGAGGCAAGATTTACCTTCCCCCAGGAATATTTCATTAGCTCCACTTATTATTAGCTCCACTTAGGGGGCAATGTCAACCTCTGCTCTGTATGGACCTGTGCCAGAATGCCCCACCTCCCATTTAACCTCATTAGGTAGAAAGCCCAAAAGGGTGAGTTCAACGGTGCCCTCTAGGCCAGCCCAGCCCTGCCTTCTGCATTTCCTGTGTCTCCCTAGACTAGCAATGACCTACTTTTGTTAGAATGACGGTCAGCAAGCAAGCTTCCAGTTACAGGGAAACCCACCTACTCACAGGGTCTCAGCTTTACCCTACAGATCCAGCAGAACACGGTGGGCGGGACTGCGTATGCTCCTTCATTTACTTCAATGCATGTCGTTGAATTAATAAATGACACCAATATTAAGAACAACGAAGAAGACAAATGCACAACGTTCCTCTTGCGACAAAGGAGACTGTGTCAACTTTTATAAATGACTACCAGGCCACGTGCTGTCAGGGCGGGAGAGAGGTGTTTACTATTTTGCACGGCACTGTGGTTTATTCCACACTTAATCTTAGTTTTTATGTGAAAATACACCTGCACATAAGGAGTTTTTAAATGCTAAATTTAGTAAGCAAGGCTCATTGGGGAAAAAAAATACATGATCATCTCTAAACTTTGTATGAGATCAAGAACCTTGGCATTACTTTTTTTCCTTTTTGTTACAAAACATTTTCATTTTTTTAAAAATCAGAAAAGGCAGTGCTTCCTCCAGTTTTCCGCCTCTGAGGAAGGGGACATAAAATTCTGAAAAAGACCCCACTCACGCGCCCAGCCCTTGTCCCCTTCGGAGAACTAAAAACCAAGGCGAACCTGAGGAAGCAGAGGGAGGAACTACGTGGATGCCTGCTCTCCTCCGGGAGCGCGCAAATGCCCAGAGGGCGCACGGACCCGGCTAGGAGCAGGGAGCCCCAAGCCCCGCACGCGGGGAGGCGGGCGAGGCGGCGAGGGGATGGGCGGGGCCTAGGGGGGCGGTCCCAGGGGCGTGGCGCGGGCGGGGGCCCGGAGGCTTAGAGGTGCGGTTCCAGACCGCCGCTAGCTCAGCGCAGACCCGGGCCAGTGCGCGGCGGGTGAGGAACGGCTCCGCGTGGCTTCTCTGGGGCGCCACGCGGTACCGCACCCTCTTGCGCCTCCCGGCCAGACGCTCGCTGCAGGTAACCAACTCCCCACCGACTTCCCCGTTTCGCCGCCCGGTGGTGGGGGAGAGATGGATGGATGGGAGGAGGGAGCGGGCTCTTAGCCAGGGCCCCGCTGCTCCGAGTGGAATGGGCTCCATCCGGGCGGAGGAAGCTGAGCCGGGGCTGGAAGTGTGGGCGCGCGGTGGGAACCCGCGGCGAGCGAGTGCGCCTTGGGCCATGGATGGCGCAGGGCGCTCTCCCTTGACCCTACCCTTCCGCCTGATCAGTGGTGCCCGGGGCCAGAACTCTGGTACCCAGTGTCACCTGGAAGCCACTTTTCTGGCCCTGCAAAGGGAGTCTAAGCTTAGAAATCGGGACAGTTGGCTGCAGGCATGGACAGGCTAGAAGCAAACAGTTACTCATTGCCATCCTCTGGGTGCCAGGGACTTGAACACTAACCGTAGCCCTGCAAAGAGACATTACCTCTAGTTTACTGATAAAGAAGCCGACGCCAGATAACAAATAACTCAACCTGGGCGACTGGAACCAATGGAAAAGAGGCGCTAGTCTTGGGGCTTCCCCAGTCTTCCTGCTCCCTCGCTGTCCTTCATGTGCAGGGCTGGGAAACTCGTGCTGCCGGGTCTATTATGAAAACAGGCGATTCTTCTTAAACACAGTTTAATCCCTACCTAGGATTCTTTTTAAAATTTTTGTTAGCATCCAATTTTTGATTCCAATTCTTCCAGGTTTTGGTCATTAGCTTCCGACGTGTTAGCTCTTGCTCACAGCCCTTCTTCCCCTTGCAGCGCTTTCTCTCAGATACAGAGCAAAACAGAGGCACCCTTGCCTGCCACACACCATCTTTCACGGTGGACGCCTGCAGATCCAGGCTGGACCTATGGGCTGCCCAGTGGAGGTAAGTTTTGTAGTTACCTGGCATCCTGCGTATTCTTTGCTTTGCTATTTCTTTGTTAGAGGGAAGAGAGTCTTCGTTTTACAAGTAGAACAAGAGGCGAATCGGGAGGGTATACGGTGCTCAGAGAAAGCCATAGTGTCTGGAGATGAGAACCTGGCCACAGCTTTTTGTGGCCTGAATTCGGTGAGTGGTAGGTGAGGGACTCTCTCAGGGACCTGTCCCCTCCTTCGGGCATTCTGCCCCCCTTTCAGAGCTGTTCTGAAAGGCAGGCTTGTTTTATAGAGGGGAGGTGGAGGGGAGAATGGTTTTCAAAGATCAGTGTAAATTACCTGCTAGGAGCCCAGACAGTTCCAGACAAGCCAGAGGATTTGGTAACAGATCTCAGTTCTGGCAAGAAGGAAAAGCTCTGGATATCTGCTCTTGCTTAATGAATTTTGTGCAGGCCTCAAGGATGGTAGCTTTGGGAAACTTTGAGGTCTTAGAAATGGCTAACGCCTCTACTTTTATTTATTTATTTTTTTAGGCTTTAACCATTTATTTAATTTGTTGCCCTTTTTACTATATCTATTGAGGTGAACTGGTTAACAATATTATACAGGTCTCAGGTGCGCAGTTCTACAACACATTGTCTGTGTACTGTATTTATTGTGTGTTCACCACCCCAAGTCAAGTCTCCATCCATCAACATTTATCCCCCCTATACCCTCCTCTATTCCTACCTTCCCCCAAATCATCACATAAATCCTCTACTTTAAAAAACAGTATCATGAATTTTCTTTTATAAAGTTTAACTGGCACATGAGGTAAGATTTTTTTTTTTCCTGTTTCATGGTGAGGGTTTGAAGGTTTACCTGTCAGCTCCTTCCCTTCAGGGTGGCCCTGGCAAGGACCTCCTTAGTTTTGGCCCGGAATATGTACTGGATTCATCTTTCACTAATTACAGCTCATTATTGGCTAGTTTTAGGACTATTTCTAGTCACAAGTTGCTTCTTTCCCATTTGTAATTTAGTTGCTACACACTAAGAAAAATGTTTTCCCTGAGAACTATTAACTGTCTACAAAATCAACTCTCTGCAGGGCCTGAGAGCTAAGTGGGACTTGGCTGGTCCCTGGTGACCTCCAGAGGACTTGCTAAAATCAGGTTGGATATCAGCCATTTCCTCCACGAAACAATGCAGGAATTCTGGCCCAGTTTGGCCAGAGCTTTTTTTCTCCCCATCCCCTTGCCCAGAGAATAGTGGAATTTTTTTATTTAAAAAAATGTGAAATCAGATTTAACATAAGTATTGGCTAATTTTTCTTTTTTAAAAACACAAATCAAATTTGGTTCATGCATCTGCCTTAGAAACTGCTATACCTGCTAATTACATTTTCAGGCAAATGAAAAATTTTATGATGTAGGTAATGTACATTTTTCATGAAATGAGGTGGTAGGAAAGAAATTAATACTATTAAAAATGATCTCTTTTGATTTATGACATGCACATTATTTCCTCTGCATTGAGTCCTTTACGGCGCATCCAAGGAATTGTGTCACTGTTTTTAATATTAAGTCTAGTGAAAAATGTACTCATGGTTCTGGCTCAGGATGTCAAATGCCTAACTCCCTGCCTCAAAAAGGAAGTTCCCAAATGACTGTTCATATAAATATATACATCAGTTCCCACATGGCTGTTCGTATAAATCAGGTGTGTTTCCTCCTGGGGACTGAATTCTTAACCACATTGCCTTTGACAGAGGAGGGATGGCTTACGGTTGTCAAATTGTGGCGAATGCCATGTATGGTAGACCAGGGTTTCTCAACTTTGGCACTTTTGACACTTTGGCCAGATAACCTCTTGTTGTGGGGATTGTCCTGTGCATTGTAAGATGTGCAGCAGCTTCCTCCACCTCTACCCACTAGATGCCAATAGTCCCCTCCCTCCAGTTATAACAACCAGAAATGCCTCCAGACATTGCCATACATCCCTTGGGAGACAAAGTCACCCAGTTGAGAAAAAAACAAAAAAACAAACAAGAAAATACAGCCAATATTTAAAATGCTCTAGAGTCTAGACATTTATGAACTAAACATTAAGTAAAAACAATTAACTTTAAACTTCTAATGACTTGAGAAGCTATTTGTAAAGTTTAACCAAATATCTGACTTTTAAAATATTTTTACAATAAAGATGACTAAACCAGTGTTCTTCCTCATGAATGGCTACATGTGTCTGGCCAGGTTTTATCCAAAGAAATTCTGATATAGTTATTCAATTTTTAAAATTTAAAATGTTGGAAACTAAAAACAAATTCTGTGGTAGTTTTCAATTTTCTCCTTTTAGTAGACTCTGCTTTTGAAGGTGTTAGAGTATCAGGGGACCATGCTTGTTAATTTGGGAAAATTGACACAATCTCTGATGTTAGAACCCCAAACAAAAAATTCTAAGCAAAAATTTGAATAATGAGATTCAGTGTAGACCATGTTCAGACTAGAATTTAGTTCTAGGAAAAATTACAAAGCTTTTTACCTAATAACAAGAACTAAGAAAGCCATGTATTTTTTAAAAAAATAAGCTTTTTTATTTTTAAAAAGTTCTAGACTTTCAAAAAATTGTGAATACAGAGTTCCTATATACTGTTTCCCTGTTGCTAATGTAATCACATATTTCTGTGGTCTGAAAAATCCTAACTTTATGAAAAAGACCCCATCCCCTACATAACACATGATAACATATCGATGAAAAAAAAAAAGTCCTTAAACTATAACCCTCTTTTTTTTTTTTTTTTTTACCATAAGCTTGGGGAGGCTGAAAACATAGCTCTGGCTATAAAAAAAAATGCATCCTTAGCTAGAGATGGGTTACCCATTGGGTCCCTTCCAGAAATCAAACTAATTTGTAAGACTCAGGACAGGTTACATAATTTGTGGGGCCCCTTGTTTTCTAAGACCTCAAAGTTTCTCATTGAGAATTTCAAGATGGCAACAGTCAGATAGGCATTAAGCAAAGTGCAGGGTCCTGTGTGACTGCACGGGTTGCACACCCATGAAGCTGGCCTTGGTAAAACTGTCCGCAGCTCAAATGAAGATAGCGATCACAGACGCAAATCCAAAGAAGGAAATGTTACTGCTGCCACAAAACACTCAGAGTTTCTGATTCATTGATTCATTCCCCATCAGGAGTCCTGCATGCATTTGGTAATCAATGCATTAAATATACTAAGAAATTTCCCCAATTACTAACTTTTCTTCTTTTATTAAAGGGATAGCCAAAATGTGGCTGAGTGACCTATTTATGCATTCATTGAACAGCTATTTACTGTGCACCTGTTAGACGCCACACATTGTCAGCTCTGGGGCTACAGCTGGGAACAGGATGGAAGGTCCCTGCCTTTATGAGCAAACTAATCCAGTAGCTGGGAGGAGGCGTGTGTGTGTGTGTGTGTGTGTGTGTGTGTGTGTGTGTCCCCGCACGCGCAGATCAGTGCACAGTCACATAGGCCATCACATTATAAGTGGTAATTCAGGAAAGCACAAGATATCCAGAGAACATTTAGCCTGGGGTCCTAACCTGGTTTAGAGGAAAGGGTTACTCAGGGTAGGTCTCCCTAAAAATAGAGATTTAAATTGAGTAGAAAATAGGTGAATTAGGGGTTGAAGTTCCAGGAAGAAAGGGCTGAGACCTAGGCAGGAATGTGGCTTGGGATGAGGCCTCTTGGGTCATTTTCAGCATTTTGGACTTTAACAAAAAGGTAGCGGGAACCCAGTTGAAGGATTTTACATGGGAGATGAGACGATTAGGTTTGGGTTTTGTAAATGATCATCGTTGCTGTGGGGAGAAGGGTTTGGTGGGGGAGGTCCTGTTGGCATACACGGTGCCTTTGTGCAAACTACGAAAAGGCTTCCCTTCCTGGTGGACCAGTTAGAAAAGATGTCCTGCTTGGTCCCGGCTAGGCCTGGCCAAAGGCTCTAGCCCCCTGAGCCAGTCACCTGCACAGGCATAGCCTATGAAATCACACAGGACCATGGCGGGGATGGGGTGGGGGCAAATAGTGCAAGGTTTTGCTGTCACCCAGGGATGATGCAGTGATGCTGAACCTGTCAAGGGCAGAGAGAGACTGAGCTTGTAGTTAAACTCAGTGAGAAGGTAGTGATTATTTGGCTATAGTTGATGGAAGGAAGAACAAGGATGATTCAAAAGTTTCTGGCATAAAGAACTGAGTGGGACAGAATGGTGAAACCATTTATAGTGTTAGAGAACACTGGAGGAGGAGCAGGTTGCCAAGAGGTGGGGGAGGGAGATAATTCCATTTGGACATGTTTGCTTCTGAGACACCCAAGTGGAATCAAGGAGAAGGCAACTGGTGGAAATCCATGTTGGAGAGCTGTTGCATAAAAATAATCATGCCTATACAAAGAGATTATCCAAATTGGGGTGTCAGATGAGAAGAGAAAGAGGCTGGCCCAGAAAGTAAGAGTGTTGTGTTTGGAGGAGGAGAAGCTGGTTAAGGCTACTTGGAAGGCAAATATGCATGCAGGATAGGGAGGACATTTTTTACCTGACTTGAGATTGGAGAGAGTTGAACATATCCTAATGCTACTGGGAAGTTTCTGGTAGAGAGTGAGAAATAAACAACAGGTCCGGGTTTCAGAGAAGGTGAAAGCGGATGGATTCCAGAATTCAGGTGGGGGCATGGGTCTTTGGTGGAAAGAGGGAGAGAAAGGATGAGTAAAGAGGTCTTAGATTTGGGGACCAGAATTTCAAGGACTTCTCTTTTCTCTGAAGGAGCAGACGAAAAGCATCTGGTGAGTTTGGCGTGTTTGTGTGCCAAGTCAAATGTTTCGTCAGCCAGTATTTATGAAACATTTTCTAGTGCCAAACATTGTGGTAGGCACCTTGGAAAGTATTAGGAATGATGTAGATTGCTACTAGGCTTAGCCCTTGTGAAATATTTGGTCTTTGTCCTGGTTCCTGACACAGAGCTGCTAAGCCTTGGAATTTCCTGAGTGATTGATAGGA